AAGTCAGAGATATAGTCAATAATATAAATAATATTTGTTTTAAAGTCTGTAAGCAAAGATTCTGAAAACTAGAACGCAAACTTAATTGCAAACATAAAAAAAATTTATACAATCTTTAGTATCCTTTCACAAACTGAACTAATGGATGCTGATGGACTGATGATATTCTGACATTATAACAGACCAATAATTTGAATCATAAAGCATGAAGATTTGCAGAGAGCCATGGTCTACAGACAAGTTAGAACTGGGAAGCTCTGAAGATCAGGGGTGCTTTATTGAATGTAATTTTCTTTTTTCTATAATTTTAGCAATTATGTAGTAACAGTACAAGGCCGTTATGTCAAAAATAACAGCAAAACCAAAAAACTTAAGCCTAACTGGAATTTTTTCCAGAACAGACAGCCAAGAGAGAATCATTTCCTATAGGTGAAGTACATTATTTGGAGGATGACACAAACTATAACAAACTATGCAGATAGCTTATGCTTTTATAGCACGTTCTTTGTAAAAGCTTTTTCCCCTAACTTTATACTTCTATTCAGTTTCAAAATTAACCAATACATCATAGACTATAAAGAATACGTTTTCCAATTCTAAAAGGTTTATGGAGAAATCAGTATTTCTACTGTTCTTGATGCAGCATTTATGGATCCTCCAGCCCTTCAAATCCACCCTTTTAACAGTGTAGGGCTTGTTTTCCTCTGGTGTTGTTACAATTCCAGTAACATCTCTTCCTGTTCCTCCTAAAGCCTTTAGGTATATACTGTGTAACTACAAAAATGCTACAAGACTAGAGAAAGCAACAATATTGCTTCTAGTGGAAAAATGAAATTGTATCCTATGACAATAAATGCGACAATACAGGTAGGCCAAATCCCTTCCCTAATGGAAGTACTAATAGACTGTAATTCTTAAATTCAGTGCCAAACAACAGAAAGACATTATGCCTAGCTAAATATTTGAAGAAACCCCACATCCTTGTGCATAATATTTAACACCGAGGACGCTCTTTTCTACTGGTCCAGTAGCAATTTTTTCTATTCAGGCAGTCTCCAGCCATTGGATTTCAGAAAATGCAGTTTACTCAACTTCATATGCCTGGGGCATGGGGAAGGGTAAGAACTCAAGAACCCCAAATTACTGACTTATCTCTTAGCAAAACAACCCCGTCTGATAATCTCAAAAGAGCACTTCAGAGAACTAAGTAACTTACCCAAGTTTCAGCATGTTGATCATGTCAAAGTTAACTACATCAAACACCTTCATTGCTTTGTCATCTCCAACAGAACAGAATAATGCCCCCTCTGCACTTACAGCAATACTCTCAATAACACCTGTGAATTAATTTAAGATACTATTAAGAAATGGGAAAGGACATCCTTCATTTCAGTATTATATATGGAAAACCTACAGAGGCCTAAAACTGTTTCCCAACTGTTTTGTCACCTTTTCCATTTAAAACTCTACCTGACTTCAATAAAGTATTTAAAAAAAAATAAAATTCACAAAACAACATTTTATGGCCTATCAGTGTTTAGACTCAGGTATGTGATAATGAACAATTTACAAAAAACATACTAAAATATTAAAATGGCAGAAAGTTTAGTTTAAAATGTTGGTTTTAGAAACTTGAGAACATTATGATGGGGTAAACATTATGGGCTCCTCAGCTTGTATTTCTCAACAGGGCAAAAGCAGCTGAACTCTACAGACTATTACTCATGATACTCAAAACTCCCCTGCAACTGGGCCTTCCATAAAATTCTCACAACACTGATTTTCACATGGTAGGTTTTGTACACACCTTTTGCTTCTATATATAATAAGAAGCTGAAGATAAAGATCAAAACCAGACTTTAGTATTTCTTGTACTCTAAAAGGAAACTTACTGTAACATTCTGCATATCAAATTGGATTTTTTTCCTTCAGGCATATAATAATTTCTAATACTGCTGAGAATCTCATTTTCTGTCCAGCCTATTTAATGCTTAGCATAGTGTTGAAAACCTTTGTGTCCTTATTAGATCAGAATATAGGGTTAAAGTTTCCCTTAACTGCAATTTGTCTGATAATGACAACAAAAATGCAGAGTTTGCTCTACAGTTACAGTATTCCAGATGAAAAGAACTGCTTTTTCCCCACACTGCAAGGGAAAAAAAAAAAAAAAAAAAAAGACTGAGGTATCCTTATTTAAAACTACATATTTCTCAACTTCTCTGGCTTTTAGGAACACTTTTGTATATCTTGTTCACTTGTGTCCCAGATATTCTCCCCACAAGCAGGCACAAGACAAGGAAAAGGCTTCAGTTTTCATTTTCGTGTTTCATTTTCATTCTATCCCTGCTATAGCTTGGGAGCAAAATGTAACAGGACAGAGGAATAAAAGGAAGATTGATAGATATAATTTAATTTCTGACTGCACTAAAGGAACCCCAAAATGTCTCTCTATTTGCATTCTCTCTTCAAACAACAAAGAGCAAGGGAGAGGAAAAAGTAAAGTTCTTTAGATAAGAAAGAGCAACTTCTCACCCAAGTGACTTCGGAAGTGTTTAACAAACTCAATCCCTTCTTCTATTTTCTTCCAGAATTTTACATGTCCATCATGACTGGCTGTTATGATAAAATCTGTCCTACAATTAGAAAAGAAAAATAAAAACAAGAAAACAGATGCACACATTATGCACCTTTCCACTAGTCAGTAATTTGCACTAGAATTAACACTGTGTAGAGAATGAAATCTCAAGAAATTACTGTGACAGTCTATCTGAATGGGTACTATTACTCCAGAAAAAACAAAACAGGTGTTGTAGTGCATTCTTGATTAATCTATGAGAAGTCAAATTGAAGAAAAATATAACACTATCCTTTTTGGATATGTAAATATAACTCCTATTTTAAGTCTGGTTTCATGGTAGTTACTGTGTGTGTGTGTGTGATCTCTGCAATTCTGGTGAATGGTATTTTTTCAGAGGGAGTAAGTTAATCTTACTCCTGTATTTCCTGCATATTTTAACAAGGATTTTAAGACCCTCCTTTAGCCTATAAAAACAACTTATACTTTGCTACTAGGTAAGTCACTTACTTTTTAAAAAAAAACCTCCACCCTTTAAAAACCACCTCAGGACATTGTAACTTTCCATTATAAAACTTCTAGAGCGAAGATTTCTTAGTCTACACAAAAATACACCCCAGACAAAGAAATACAATGGAAAAAAAATACTTACTTTGTACATGCTACATGTGTAATAACATCTCTGTGCATGTAACTGCGTTCGTACATTGAAGCTGACGGTAGATTTTCAAGATAAACATGCTCAAATTCAAGAACTACACAGAATAGAAAGAAAAGTCAGGATTTTTTTTTCATGAAGTTACATCTACCTTTTGTTCTCTTTTACTTATCCTTTTATTGCTTACTCATATTTAGTCAAAAATATGCAGGATTTTGTGCAAACATAATTAAAGGGCTTTTAGCTCTGTTTTTGCACTCAGACTTACACATTTTCTGTGGACTAAAGCACTCAAATGCTGTTTTAACTCATATTGCTCCTCCCTCTTAAAGCAACTGTTACAGTAAGTCTTATTCTTTCCAAAAAGCCAAAGTCAATCAACAGTTTTTAAATTACTGCCAGAAAACAGAAGGTCATCTGAACCTCATTTTATTCTAAAACCACATGTATCCCTGTTGTTTTTACAAGATTTGTGGTCCCACACAGGTCCTGGAGACTAAATTTTAACTGCTGGCATCCACCTATTTCATTGTTTACCTGGCTGACCTAAAATAATGTGATTTTAAGTTTTGTTTCTGATTTTTAGATCCTACTTGTTAACACCTGTGCAACAGTATTTTCTACTGAACTTGCATGTTTACTTCTGATGAACATTGTTTTTTTTAGTTGAAGAAAAAGTGATAGCCAAAGAGCTGGAAGCTGCTGCACACATCAATATCATAAGCCAAAATACAGCCTAGACGCTTCTCCTGCTGCTGCACTTTTAAAGCGGTGATCTGAAAGATGGATTAACTCTACATCAATAAACAGCACAGCTTCAGCCTGCACAGCAGGGCTATTGGCCTCAAAATGTTCTCCAGAGGAAACAATCATAGAATGTTAAGGGGTTAGAATAAGACTTAAATATCATCTAGTCCCAAGCCCCTTCCTACTAGACCAAGTTGCTCCAAGCCTTATTCAATTTGGCTTTGAACACTGCCAGGGTTGGAGCACCCAAAAAAAAATCACTGGGGAATCTGTGCCAGTACCTCACAGTAAAGAATTTTCCCCTTACAGCTAATCTGAATTTCCCGTCTTTCAGTTTGCACCAATTAGACTTGCTGCCATCACTACAGCTCCTGTCGAAGAGTCCGTCTCTAGCTTCCTTGTAAGTCTCTTCAGAAAGCTGCTATAAGGTCTCCACGTAACCTTCTCTTCTGCAGGCCACAACTTTCTCAGCACCTACTCTGTAATTCCGCACCTGAAGGTTCCCCCGCAGCGTGCGCACTTTATATACGAAGGTATATGTACACAGCTTCAGGACACGCGCTCCCGGCAGCTGCCCTCACCTGTGGCCGCTCTCGCCCGCGGGGCCTGGAGGCGATCCCGCCACCCCGACCCCAGCCGGGGCAGTGCTCCACTCCTCCCCTTACCTCTCCTTTTCTTCGCCTGAGCGGCCTCCCCCGGGAGCGGACCGACCCAGCGCTCATCCTCCTCGTCCGCTGCCGCCGCATCCGCGCCGCCCGCCTCCAGCTGCGGCGGCTTTCTCTTGCGCTCGGGCTCTCCGGACGCCATGCTGTGACGCGCGCCCCGCGCCGGGCGCTCCGGAGTGACGCGCAGGCGGACGGCGGGAAGCGGCCATGGTAGTACCGGGCGGGGCGGCTCCGCGACACGGGGGTCCCGGCGCCTCGGGCCGGGCGGCGGGCTCGCCGCTGGGGCTGGGGGCTGCTCTGCAGGGAGGGTGCTGGCTGCCCGGCCGGGAAGGGGCGGTGTTCATCCCTGGGCTGTGAGCGGGGCTGTCCCGCCTCGCGTCCTCCCGCCGTTCGGATGCCGGGGGGGCGCGAGGGCTCCCTGCCTCGCCGCTTTTGCCATGTTGTCTGAACCCTGCCGATATTTAGCTTCCTAAGACGCCTTCGTGTCTCTTCGTGTCTCACAGATCTTCCATCGCTTTCCTCTCCCCTCCCTCACTGTCTTGCCGCAGTTGGTCGTTGTGTGCTTGGTCACATTACGCATTTCGCCTTCTTAATATGCATAAGTATATGAAGGGACAGTGCAAAGAGAATGGACTCGGGCTCTGCTCGGTGGTGCCTAGCAGTAAGACGAGAGGCAATGGGCAGACACTGGTGCACAAGAAGTTCCGCCAAACATGAGGAAGAACTTCTTTGCTGTGCAGGTGACTGAGCACTGGAACAGATTGCCCAGAGAGGTTGTGGAGTCTCCCTCACTGGAAATATTCAAGCACCATCTGGACACAATCCTGTGCCTTGTGCTTTGGGGTGGCCCTGCTTAAAAAGGGATGTTGGACCAGATGACCCGCTGTGGTCTCTTCCAACCTGACCTATTCCGTGATTTTCTTTTGTAAAGCCGTGGCTAGCATAGAGTCTACACTTGGACATGTGTGTATTTCTTACCTATTATATAGTCCTAAAACAAGATAAGAATAAATAATTTGTTGAAACTGGAAGACATTAGTATTAATGCCAAAAAAACCCTTCAGTTTTCAGTTATGGTGTGGAAATAGAAATGTATTTTACCATACTGAAATAGGGAAAACAGCAATGTATGTAAAATTAACATCAGAAAGTGATACTTCAGTGTGTCTACTGTGTAAGGTAGTTAAGAGCACAGCATTAAGGACGACAAGTCGGTTTGGCTTGTGAGAGCCCTGTCATGTCTCACAATATGTACATTTTGAAATGCTGTATGTAGTTGGTCCAGAAATTTAAAGTTAACTATAGAATCATGTAATCATTTTTGTGCAATGGAGATTTTCTGGGTTTCTCTTCAGAGTTTTATTCCATATAATGCTTTCATGGTGATGAATTATAGTATTGCAGGGGATATGGGCAGAATAGATTTTATCCCACCCCAAATTTCCAAAGCATGGGGTTCTTTTTCTCCCCACTATCTCCCCAGACCCTCTTTGTCTCCTTTTTTGTCTGAGAAAAAACTAAGACTGCTTGGTTTCTTTCTTAGTTTCTTCCTTCTGGGCAGTCTTCGCTGGAGGCATTTCAGAAGTCTTAATGAATTATGGGAACTAGTTCTGTTTTATATTATGGAGACATTCCAAGACTCTTAAGAAGATAATGATCTTCCTTTGCAAAATCTACGCTCATTAGTTCTTATAAGATCATGGTCACCTAGATTTTGTAGTGTTCTGTTTTAAATGCAACAAATTTGCTAGGAAGACTTAGTAGACGTATTGGCTACATATGAGTACTCTAGGGTAATTCCAGCATTCAGTGAGATGTTCCGATTTTCTTTCCTCATCCACTTTGTTATGAGGTACTTGAACTCTGCAAGTACTAGTAGACTATTTCACCCCTTTTAGATAGGGTTTTTGACATAATTTTCTCCGACGCTCTGTTTTTGTTGTGAAAAAGGACAAAGGATTGAGTTAGTAATTTATGCTTCAGTAAGAAGGTAGAAAAGTGTAATTCTTCTCTAGATCGTTATCCATTTTTAATGTTTCTGTTTAATTCCTGTGTGTTTGGTGGGCTTAGTACCCACTAAGGTATTATTAAAGGCTTCCTGCATGTGGTACATCTAGCCTGTTGATTGTTTTCTCTGGAAAAAAAACTTACCCCTTCTTATTTTTCCCCCGTTAATTGCTGCTGTCATTGAGGTATCTCTTAAGTGAAAAACATAAAAATTCATAAATTTAATTCCAGATGTTTCTTTCTCACCCAACAGTTTCTCAAAGTTTTTAATTTAACTTGGGCTGATTTTTATTTTGGCTGTCCAGGTGCCCTCTTTCCTTGGTTTTCTGTATATCTTTCAGGTTATTTTATTTGTGATTCTAGTAACTTTGAGGGTGCTTAATTTGTTAATCAAAAATATTCTGAATTCAAACGAAGGAGAAATAGATTACCATGTTTATTGACAGAGCAGAAGTAACTGTTTAAAAACTTTGCAGCTAAATGGAGGTAAAGTATGGCTTTATAGAGGTGAGATTCTCTTACTGTTTTTATAATAAAGTTCTTTGAAAATAAAGAATCCATTGCAGATAATCAAAGCAGTTATTAAAACTTAGGACATTGTCATTCAATTTTAAAAGTAAATTATTAGTGTCTTCTAATTTTACTTAGTTATATAGTTAGCTGATTCCACTCAATGGCTGGGTGCTTTCCAAAACTATAGAGAAGTTAACTAAAAGCTTTGAATTTAGAGAGTTTATTCTGTTACATAGTTGATCGAAATGGCAGGTATGATTAAGAAATCAGTTATTGTAGATCTACATGATAACTATTCTATTTGCTTGTTAATAGGCTGAATATTTATCAGAAACCACTAACAAAGCTGGTCCTGTAGCTGCCAAGGAAGAACTCTTGGATGAATGTGAGAGTATTTGGAAGCAGATGGAAGAGGTATGCAAACCTAAATGATAGGCTAAGTTTATTATAAAGCTTTTTCAGAATTATTTTATTCATCACATGCTTGCCCCACTGCCCCCCAAAGAAACCACTTTGATAAAAAACCAAACCAACTAACCAAAAAAACCCGAACAAAAAAATCACAAACAGAAAAAGAAAATAGTATCTTCAGAAAGGTCAAATGTAGAAGTGCTTGGAGGAGTGAAGAATGCCTTGTAGTGTCAATGTGTTGAAGTTATGATTTAGTGTGGAAGTATATATTAAAATTACAGAAAATGAAACAATTCATTTGTGTTGTGGTAGTACCAGCATACAGAGATGCTTCTCTCTTTAGCCTCACAAAAGATGGGATTCCATTTCACAGGTCCTTTGGATCTTGGAGGAGAGGCAGAGGAGGACGATGATGTCTCCCTATGCTTAGTCCCTTGCAAACTCACAGTTACATTGTCATGGTTAAAACTTCTCTCTTGTACATAGTGCAATATGTTAACAAATAACAGTTTAGGGCTGGTTATTTTTATTCTCAGAATTCCCAGGAAAGATAAACTTTTATCAATTTTTAGGGAATACTGTTCTTCCTGCAAGATTCTGCTGAATCTGTTGAAAAATCATATTCTAAATTATATTTTCAGAGTCTTAATCACTTCACTCAATTTTCTATTGTACGTGGTATTTGCTTGAGTTCTGAGTTGTGGGTTCAAAACAATAAAATACCAGAAACTGAAGTAAAAGTATTTCCACCTTAAAGTAGAACAAAGTACAGACAACTCACAGTGCAGTAATTTTGCACAAGTTGATTTAAAAAGACTAATGGGATTTATTTCTTGCTGAGTATTCAGCTAAGTTTGCATGTAACGAGTGGCAGGGAATGCTATGTCTCACTATCTGAACTTTCTTTGGAATTTTCAAATTAGAAGAGAAATCTGAATGTTTACTGTTTTGAATGTACTTGAAAATATTTGATATCTTGTATCTCATTCCCAGCATGCCCAAAATAATATAAGAAGTGATGTGTTATTTTCGGAAGTTGATGAAAATAGTAGGATTTTTATTATTTGGATTTTGCATCCTGGATGCAAAATGTTAATGTTTCAGCAAAATGTTTAAACTAACAGTCATTTAATTAGCTCCTAGGTTATGTGATTGCATGTAATGTTGCAATAATTTTGTGTCATCATGAACAATTTTTGTGGAAGAAATCCTATACAGTGTTCTGGTATGCAAACATTAACAGCAAGGTTTCCAAAGTACTGCTTCATAGAATACATCCTGCCTTGTTTTGGGCAGGTTACACTGATGGCAGAAAAAAGAGTGTTTAGCCGGTGTCACCTCTTTATGCCTTGGATATTTGTGATGGGCTGACTTTCAGACTGCATATACACCTCATTGCAGTCATGAGAGCTGATGTACTCTCCCAAAAACCAGACCACTTCTGTACAGTATACTCCCCTAAATGACTTAAAACTAAAAATACATATTATAATATGATGGCTCTGTTTGGAGCAATCTGTTTGGAAATCCAGAAGTGTAGAAGGAAGTATGTTAATTTCTCAGCAGTTTCCCTGTTCAGCCTCGTCCATGACTCTCTTCACTCTTTCTCATGTTATTTATCTGTTCAATGCCTTTCCCCATATGAACTTTTCCTTCATAACTTGCCTTTTTACTCAAAGAATACATCTTTCTTTAGCTGCTACTTTTCTCCTTCAGAGTTAATTTAATTCTGCTTTATTGTGTTGTGATTTCAAAACGTTTCTTAATTTGCGATTCTGGGTTAGGGTATACGGAATGTGGAAGAATCCAATTTAAAATTATTGTATTTCTATATTTAAAAAGTTGTGTTTAAATTTCTAAGAATTGTGTTTTGTTCTTACAACAGAGAAGAGTAAACAAACTTTCTTTGTGCTTTATTTCCTTTCTTTTCTACCAAGTGTCAGAGCAAGCTAATGCTTCTAGGAACAGAAACACTGCCACCATCAGATGCCAAGGTAAGACAGTGGGTTTTTAAAAACAATTCATTTTCTGTTAAGACCATAGAATCACAGAATGGCCTGGGTTAGAAAGGCCCTTAAAATCATCTAATTCTAACCCAGGCATAGGCAGAGACACCTTCCACTAAATCAGGTTGCTTTAAGCCCCATCCAGCCTGGCCTTTTAGGGACTGGACATCTGCAGCTTCTCTGGGCAACCTATTCCAGTGTCTCTGCTTACACAACAAAGAATTTCTTCCTAGTATCTAATCTAACCTGCCCTCTATCATCTTAAGGCTATTTCTCCATGTTCTGTTACTACATGTGATTGTAAACAGTCTCTGTTCTTTCCTTTAAGTCCTATTCAGGTACTGGAAGGTCCTATAGTGTTTCCCTGGAGCCTTCTACAGGCTGAGCAACCTCAACACCCCTCCCCTGTTTTTATAGTAGAGGTATTCCAGCCCTCCAATCATCTTTGTGGTTTTCCTCCAGACTTACTTGAGCAAGTTCACATGCTTCTTATGTTGGGGACCCCAGAGCTGGAGGCAGCACTCAAGGTGGGCTCTCACCCCAGAGCAGGGTGGAGGGGCAGAATCACCTACCTTGACCTACCTGCTGGCCATGCTGCATTTGATGCAGGTGTTACAATTGGCTTTCTGGACTGAAAGTGCATGTGTCCAACTTTTCATGTTGTATCTCAGTCAGCCTGTATTGATACTGGGGGCTACCCTGACCCTTTAAAAAAAATAATAGAAACATTCCTTGATCCCTGTGAATTACTGTAAAATATTTTGAAGAAACTAGTGTTCTATTGTAATAGATGCTCTTTAGTTTCCTGTGGTATCAAGTTAACAATTCAGTTTCTATCCTGTTCTACCTCATTTTATGCCAATGCAACTCAACACACATCAAGAGATGCTTCTTTTCTTGTTACACAGCTTTACTTGTTAATGCTGCAATGGAAAGCTTTAACAGTAGATTTTCATCAGTGGCAAAAAAGAAATCCTGAATGTAAGTAACTGTTTCCTTGTAAAGAATGCTTTTATAAACTTCTGCAAAGTTTTTTTCACAAATATACTCAGGCCATGAGTATATTTGTGTCTGCTGATTGTATTTTCATTCCATAACTACTTAAAAATTAAAATAATGGTACTTTAAAAAGTAGCATGTATGTTTTATTTCTTCATTATTTTTGCACTTCAGTTCTAAGTCAACTTGAAATTATAAATGAATTCCACTATAATTTTATCCTATAATTCTGGACAAATAAGTGCGTGATTCATGCCGTTATTCATCAGTCAGTTAAATGGAAAAATAACTATTAGCAGATCTCTTAACCAAATAAGAAAAGTTCATTATCCTGTTACCCTCCTTCATATTCTTTTCTGTGTGGTTGTTTTTTCGCTGACTTTTATTTGTATTTCATTTTTAGAACAGAAATACTTTGGTAAATAAAATTGTCTTCATTTTGTCTTTTAAGAAGCTGATACATTAACCATACATCTTCTGATTATTTTTCTGATTAAATGTGTGTAGTATTACAATGTGATAGTTGAAACTTTGAAATAGACCTTTAGTGCTAAGCCCTCTACACTGTAGTAAAATACCAATTTTGAATTAACAGGGATTGGAGATTTCAAGTCAATATACAGTGGTAAGAGACACTAGAATTTTTAAACAACGCAGGAATCCAGAATACTTACTGATGCTGAGAAGCACAAACCACTGAGACTAGTGGTAGTTCTTATAATTGTTAGGCATTATTAGTCAAAAGGTCAATTCCTCAGTTCTTCAAAATTCTCTTTGTGCATAAGCACCACTCCTGGTAGATTTCAACCTCCCGCAAGGCTGATGTGGCCAGACACTGGAAATAAAAGCATTCAGGATCTAAGTGTGAGTAAAGTAATCTTAGTTTTCAGATGTCCCATATGGACATTCCTAAAACAGTTCACACTACACTATCATTAATATTCAGGTAGTATGCATGGTTATGTCTCCCATCAAGGACCTGTTTACACCTGTCAATCCCAAATAATTTCTAGTTAATCTTTAAATTAATATATTGACTCATTTGAATATTTCTATGCCAGTAGAGGCTTGGCTTTGTAGTATTTGCAAAATTATAGGAGTGCTATAGACAGCATGTGGTGATTTCCAATGTTTTGTTATTTGGCCAAATGGAAATGCCTTTCCAAATCAACATTAGAGGCAGTCCTCCAACTTTTTTTCAAAGTCTGTATTTCCTACATCTCATCACTAAATAAGAGAAGCTGGGATAATTTTTTTTTTTTATTAAATAGATGCTGTTGTTGTATTAGAATATTTTCATAGTTTAGTGTTGTTAGCTTCACTCCAAGAACTGTCAGCCTCCAGTGCTTCTGAGGTATGTAGACCAAAGGCATGTCATTGAATGAATTTGGAACATACTGGTTCCTGGCTGCTGTTCATGAATAAGTTGCTGGCTTAAAGCTAATTAATTGAAAGAACTTAGTTTTTATCTGGGTAAAATACCTGAGGCTGTTAGATTTCCGTACTAAAATATGTATATTACACTTCAAGCTATTGGCTTAAAAATATCCTTGGCCTATTTTTTTGGCTTGCTCACTTGCTTTGTTCAACCATTCTTACTTCTTCCCAAATGATAATATTTCTTATTAGAAATCTAGAGAATTATCTGTAATTAATACGTTACAACCAAATTTTTGCCTTTTTTGGCTCCCTTTCCAGTGGAAGAAAAAAGTTCCTGCTAAGAATTTGAATGGAGTTATGGTGCTTGTATGAAAATGAGGAGTCCTCTTTGCTTACTTCTCTGTCTTGGCTTCTTTCTACCTACTGTTTGTTTTGAAGGAGGAATTACTTAATTGAGAACATTGTCTGATTTTATCTAAATAGAAATAGCAGAAATACTGATTTAATACAATTTACTAATAGAGCATGAATGTCAGCCTGTCTAGTTACATTGGTTTTGGCTTTTAGTAGTGGCCAGTTCATTTCCTGTAAATGAGGACCTGTCAGCATTTCAATCTTAAATCTTATTTTCAGAGGTTATAGCTTGGCAGTTCTACGTTTTTTTGAGCACAGTACTGGCAAACAGACTTGAATTCACGATGCAAATTTTATTTTTGCAAAGCTTAAACTTTAGTGTCTTTTTATTTCTTAATTTATGGTATTATTTATGTAGCTCAAGATCTGCTAAATCAGCTGAATTACAACTTCTAAAAAAGCTTTTGGTGTATAAAAATAAAATTTAACTTTTACCTTTGCAAAATCAGGAAGTGAAAGCAACCATATTTTAAACCATTTCAAACAGTTGTGGTCTCTGCATAATTTCTGTTTTTCTTTGCAAAATAGCAGTATTCTGCCAAATACCTTTTTGTTTTATTTTAATATGAACTTCTGTATAAACATGTGCATAGTGGTTGCTTTTACATTCCTAGCATCTGATAGTATTTTTCTTGGTAATAGTACTTTGTATCACTAGGCAATTCTCTCTGACATTTGATTTTTGCAAGTGTAGTGATACAACAAAACTGGAAAAGATTGAATTGATTGTGGATTGAGCAAGCAGTGAATTTACAGCAGCAGCTGGCATAAGTGTGTTGTCCCAGTGTTTTAGATCTGCATTGTTCCTTCACTAAATTATGGCTAGTGATTTCTTTCCCATGAGCACAGGGCCCTCTATTCTGATACTCACACAGTATAAACAGCAAGCATGAACTCAGGATTAGGTATCTAGAAATAAAGAAGTGTTAGGAGGCAGTTGTAAAAATTGATAATAATTGGTAAGGGAAGGCTTATAAAGATCATGTCAGCAGGAAATGGCAGAGGGAAGAATTAAACTTAAACTCAATTGGGAGCAGAGTACTCAAATTTTGCATCAGGATTTAGAAACAATAATTTTCCAATAAAAGGAGTTTTATTGAAACATTTAATTTAGCGCATTCTTGATGCATCAGTAGGTTTTCTGATTTTCGTCTCAGAACAAACAGGTCTTTTAAAACTACTGATCTAAAGCTTCTTAAAATTTTTGTGGTAAGTACTATAACATTACCAAAGAAAGTACTTTTCTGAATTTATTAAATAGATGTTTTTTATTTAGAAGATGTTTATTGCTGTCATGAGAGGGTTAAGGATTTCCTTTTTGATTAAGGAATTTTTTATTTAAGTCATTATTTGTAAGATTAGAGATTTCAAGCCCAAACTTGCACAAAAAATCTGTCTTATAAAGATTTTAATCTGTTAGAATAGCTTTCGTTTCTCCTGTTAATGTATTGAAATAGTTCAAAAAAGTCATAGGTTTATGCAGAAGCTGCAAGTTGACATGGATCTGAGAATTGACTAGAGTTTGTTGAATGCTGTAAGAAACAAGAATTCAGTTTTTATTCTGGAAATGCATGAGTCATAAATCACTGCATTTTGTAGAAGCATTCTGGAGAAAAATTTCTTCTTGAATTGTACTTTGGTTTTGCTTAGGTATTGCTATTGCTCAGTGTTTGAGTTAGGATATTGGCTTTGCTGGGCCATTCATCTCCCTGCTGTTCTTGTGAACAGTAAGGATGGTGACATGCTTCTGAAGTTATTAAAACTAGGTTCTATAATCCTGATCAAGCATTTAGGAGGCTATTTAACAAGGGATTGGAGGACTGGAAGAATTTTTTTTATTGCCCACATTGGTAATGTTGATTGCCTTCTGCTGAAAAAATCAGGCTTGGTTGTCTTGCAGTGTATAGAAATGTACTGTTTATTCATTATGCAACTACACCAATGTACTTGGAGTTAGTTCAAGTATAAAAATAACACACAAGCATTAACAGTGCACTTTTTTCAGTCTGATTTAATTGACTGAATAGTGATAGTAGGTTAGCCCAGCAGGACACCACAGCATGTGATTAAACTGCTACTGAGAACCAAACTATTATTCAGAAGCTACACAAATTTCTCTCTAGCCAAGCTGCTTTTCAGAATAAATAAGTCTTTATTTTCCAGTGAAAAAATAAACAATTCATTTTATTTTTCAGTAATTTCTACCAATCCAGATGTACTGTTAGAATTAGGAAAAGAAGAGGTAAGTCTAATAAAAATTTTTTGGAAAAAAAAAAAAAAGAAAAACAATATATGCAATTGCTGCATTTTCCTATGATTGTTCCTAGGGTGAATTACTGCTAAAATGCTGTGTGTTTTCCTTCAGCCATTTATGTTTTTCTAATGCTTTTTTCCCCCCTCTAGTATAATTAGTAGAATTTCCTAGTTGTAATTAGTTGTAATTAGTGAGGTTTTAAACTGACTTATTGCACAAGTCACTGAGTAATGCACAATAAACAGTATTTTGCCTCTGGACCCACCATCTAATCACAGTAGCTCAACAAACTTATCTGCATGCAATGAAAATTATGTGATAATTGACACCCCTACACCCCTGCTACATTAATGCTGCATGGCCTCATTAGGATTAGAGTCCCATTGTGCTGGGTGCCACAGGAGACAGAAATCTCATGCCAAGGAGACTGATTACCATGTCTTGCAAAGATTTAGCCATCATCTTTGACATTATGCAGCAGGGTGCATTTCTGGGGCTGAAGCCTACACACTGTACTTTTCAAGATTACTTTAATATAACATTGTGCAAGTGCTTGGGCAAGTAGATCCACTCCAAATTGTGTTTTCAAAATGATCTGTGGCTGAATTTTAATTGCTAAGTGGAATTTGTCACAGAATGGCTGAAGTTAGAAAGGACCTCTGGAGACAGAATCATAGGATAGTTTATGTTGGAAAAGACCTCTAAGATGATCCAGTCCAGCCATCCAAATCCACCACTAAACCCTGCCCCTAAGTGCATCACAGGATTGTGTCAAGGTGGCTTTTGAATATCTTCGAAGAAGGACAAGCCACAGCCTCTCTGGGCAGCCTGTTCCAGTGCTCAGTTTTTCCTAATTTTCAGGTGGAAATTCCTGTGTTTTGAGTTTGCGCCTCTTGCTCCTTGTCCTATCACTTTGCACCACGGAGAAGAGTCTGACCCTATCCTCTGCCACCTGCCTTTAAGATATTTGTGTGTGCTTTTTTTTTAACAAAATGCTATAATATATTGCATTTCATATTTAATAGAAAATTATGTAATATTATATGTTACATGGAAGAGCCAGTTATCTTAGATATTGAGTTCTGTGGCAATAATTTGCAAATAGTTTGTTGAGTTCCTCCATTGGAAGAAAGAGCAAATCAGTAATGTCTTGCAGGTAACATTTTACTATATTGATGGGACATAGGAATGCTATGCGACTTGAGAATATTCCTGTGTCTAATGCCTTCTAGTATCACTCACAACAGCAAACCTGACTGCTGTTAAGAGTCACTATCAAAAAGTTGTTAGGTTACACACTTTGATTGGCATGTTAGTCTGATACTTGAGGATTACAGCATTTTTTTCAAATGTTGTATATATGGAGCACATTTGTTTCTGTAGCATATTTTCAGAATGTGTATTTCTTTGAGCTAACTTCTTAAGTGCTCCTATTTTGTATGTAAGCAATAAAAATACATCCAAATCACAGGCTTATATAATGATTTTGTAGAAGACCATAGTGCTCTAACAGGGAACCTCATAATTTATAGAAGTATCTGAAGAGAATGGAGCCAGGCTCTTCTCGTTGATGCCAAGCAATTGGACAAGAGGCAATGGGATGCACAAGAACACAAGGAAGAGCTTCTTTACTGTGCCCAGAATTTGCCCAGAGAGGTTGTGTAGTCTCCCTTGCTGGAGTTTGTCAAGAACTGTCTGGATGCAACCTGTACCATGTGCTCTTGGATGATCCTTGCCTGAGTAGGGAGGTTGGACCACATAACACACTGTGGCCTGTCACAATGGTTAAGGAAACTTCCCGGTCCAACAGTCCAGGAACCATGGTGTCAGGCACTAAACCCGTTTGCAGCTACACATTCCACACTCACACAGATCAGATGTCCTTACCAGCTCAATCCTAGGTTTCTGTCTTCCCTTAGGCTCACACATCCTGATCCATAAAATAATTTAATCATGGTGTAATAATAGAATAACAGCTTGAGCTGGGTGCCTTTGAGGAGGGACCCAGAACAAATGAATTTTATACCCTCAAAGCCAAAAGGCTTTTATACCCTCACAGTGTAAACACAGGCATCATCAGCTCCTGCCATATCTCAGTGTCCCCTCGCCTGGCAGGGTCACAGATCCCCAGGCCCCCTGTTCTACAACGAGTTGGCAGTTCATGGCCTCTTGCCTGGGGCTCTTGCCCGCGTTCAACCCAGAGCTCAGCCTGTAGCTCTGCTGCAGCTGCACCCTGAGCTACCTGCACTGAATTTGTTCCTCAACACAACCTTACCCATTCTGTGATGCTATAGTGAAAGACCCAGCCCACTCAGAATCCACTACTCCCTAGATTCAGTAATGCCTATAGCTTCTGACTGCAGTGGTTTTATTTCTTCATATTTCCTGTCCCAGATATTCATGGTACTGAAGATCATATAATTCATGGTTGCAGTTAGTATTTCTTTGACCCATCTTCATTTTCTGTCTATCTTATGTGGTGCAAGTAGCATGGATTCAGTCTTGCCAGCAGCTGCAATAGTTTAGATAATAGGGCCCTGATGCTGTAGTCATTTTCTCCTCATCCATTCATCAGCTGAGCAGTTCATATGTGTACTTCAGGTAAAATTAAATATTTTGTTAAGCTCTGTGAGCTTCAAGAAGACACTGATGAGCAACTGACAGTAAGGTAACAGTAACATTTTGAATAGCTCCTGCATTTTAAACTAGATTTTAATGTTTATTAAGAAATTGCAAATGATTTTGTCCCTCTTTATCAGATTTACAGATGTAGCCTTACACAGAACAAATACTACAGCCTGGGTACCTACAAACAATAGTTTAATTTATATTCTTTTATAGTTGCAGAAAGTGAAAAATGATCTTGAAATGGTGCTGTCAATAGTTCAGTCAAAGAATAAACATCTGGAAGAAGATCTGAAAAGGTAATACAATGATTGGGACTTTGGAATGCTGTAAGCTTTTTTCTTTTTTAATATTTATCTGTTGTGCCATTTCCTACCTTTCATGTTTCAAAGAGAACAGCAGTGGTATGAGGAACAGAAGCAGATGCTAGAGACTCTTAATAAAATTGAAGAAGAGGTAAATTCCCAAGACGAACATCCTTCCACAGAAAGGTATTTCTACATTTTTGAAATGTATTTCATATTTGAAACATGAATATCGTAACATATATCCTGTGATTGAAGAGGTTTAATTTCTAACAATAGATAATACAGGGATATTTTTACTTAGAAGGGACTTTTTAGTTACCTGATTTGATCCCTTGTTCTGTTGCTGTTTTTACTATTAGTTTGAAAATTGGAGAACTCAATGAATTGAAAACCAAAATATTGAAATTAAAGACCTTTAAGAAAGAACTCTTGACTGCCTTGGGTGGATTCCTGGATGAATATTTTCCCTGTCCAGAGAGAGGTGAAAATATTAAAGAAAAGGTAAGACTTTTCTTTACCTATTAAATTTGAAATGTTCAATTTCTATTTAATTAGATGCAATATCTGTTTCAGGTCACTAGCATTGAACCTGCAGTTGTATTTTGAAATATGCATAGTTTTTACAGCTGATCCTCTAGGTTTATAGTTTTATATAATAGAAATATATATATTATGTTATATTATATTATATTATATTATATTATATTATATTATATTATATTATATTATATTATATTATATTATATTATATTATATTATATTATATTATATTATATTATATTATGTTATATATTAATATATATTAATATATACTATATATTAATATATACTATATATAATATATATAGTATATATTTATATTTTTATATTTTTCAGGTTGTTTTATATTATTTAAGGCTATTTCCAGCTGGATATTTTCTTTTCTTAATGCATATAGCCTTTACCCAATGACATGCATAGCAATATATTGTATTTCTTACTGAACTGCAAGCTTTGCCAAATTTGGAAACAGTGTGGGGTTCAGTCCAAATTTACTTTTTTTTTTTTATTTACTTGACTGGGCAAGTAGAGCCCTATTTTACTTGGCAAAGCAAATTTTAATTGTTTAACAATGTTTTTGGAACAATAAGGAAAAGTGTTTATAATTACAGAGTAGTTTGGAATGTTAACCATCAGATTTTGTTCAGGCTAACTGGGTCAAAAACTATCTTAAGACCTCAGGGAGAATAGGCAGCCAGGGAGTATTTTGCATAATAAATTCATAGTGTGCATTAAAAATAAAACTATTACCATCACTATTTGATAGATACAGAAAAAGCTATGAAAAAAGGAAGGTTTTGATTTTTATTTCAGGCACACAATATTACAGAAGTAGAAATTATTTCTTTAATCCAATTCCCTGTTATTTCAGGTAACCACATAATGTAATTTCTTCAATATTACCATTGAGCTCCATTTTAGCACAAATAATTTTTTTTACTGCTGTTTTTCCTGTGTTTTTTCTTCTAGTATCTCAGTACTCTGGTTAGAAACTGTCTCACAGTGTCCAGTCTAAATTTATCCAAGTCTAACACAGATCCACTTGTATTCTTACACCAGAATTTTCCCTAGAATAGCTCTTTTTCTTTCTTGTGTTTATTCTTCCTGATATATTTATGGCAGCAGTCTTATATCCTCTCTTTCTTTGTTTTGTTAATTGAACTAGCAACACCTTTATGTTCTCCTGTAAGATAATATTTTTCAATTTCCTAGCTTACTCTTGTAATAACCATTGTCTATGTTTGTTTTCACTTGATCTCATCTTTTTTACAACCTGTTAAGAAACAATATTATAAATAAAACTATGAGCTCACACCCATCACCAAAGCAACAAATTACACCCTTGTCTTTTTCTGTCTGTAATTTGCAGCTAATGAATCGTGATCTTTTACTTAAAAAAAAAATCTGTTTTCCACATAAGCACATATTTTGCACATAAAAATACCAAGTGGAGATGTCAAGACATGGTGTTAATTTTCAAAGTATTATTCAAATATCTTACTTTGTTGACTCTTAGTTTTTCTGCAAACCAATGCCTTCCTTTCCTGTTGTTAGTAAGTATGACAGATTTTATTCCAAGTCTCTCCATTTTAGAAACAGTCTCATGTGGGACAGTGTCAAATGCTTTGCACAAGTCCAGCTAGATGGCATCAATTGTTCTTCCTTTTCCATAAATACTGTAACTCTTGTAGAAGGCCACTAAATTAGTTGGATGTAAATGGCCTATAGTGAAGCCATGTTGGCCATCACCAATCACTTTACTTAAACAAAAAAACTACTTTGATTAATTTCAACACAAGTTTTATCTTTCCTTATCTTAAATTTTATTTATGCATTTCCTGAACTCTTAAACATACAGGTTTCTGATAGGTTTTTTTCTTTCTTTTCACTCTTTATGAATTACTAGCTTTTCTATGTCTTTTGATTCACTTGGATCACTTGACTTAACTACAGGTACCCCTTAATCTGCATCTAAGTAATTGACTGTGAAGGCAGGACAGCCGGCCATTTTTGCCTACATTTATTGTCAGAAATACAAATTGTAATCACTGGCAATAAAATTAGCTGCTATGTTAGTTCAGGAGAACACATTATTCACTTGTATTATCAGCTTGGTTCAACAGTCTAGCAGCACCAAACTCTTAACTCTGCACATCAATCATTTTGCTTCACTTTTTTGAAGCGTGTTGTGTTCACAATGGTTCCACATAAAGGGCATCTGTGCAGGGCTGATGTCAGTGGGACATGGCTGCAGCATAGTTTGAACTGCTCCAAACCTTGCTTGTCTGGTTCCATCCTTCTTTCACCTAGTGACATGCATGTGGGATTGGGAGTGGGAGTGAAGACTGCATCATAGCAGCTCAGATTGGCTTCTGTTGCCATGGCCCAGCACTTTTAATATAGGTAGTAACTGTAGTAATGATGATCTTGCATTTTAAATCTAAGATAAAAATCTACTTTATTTTTTTCAAGATAATAATATGAAAAATTAGAGGCTGAGGAATATTCTTTATGCAAATCTGTCTGATTGGAATCGTGAAGAAGGTGCCTTTCAGGCTAAATAATAAAATGCTGAGCATCCTACTTAACGACTTTATAAGCATTAAGTGATTAGCGGTACTTAATTGTATTAGTAGTAATTTTGACCAGGGAAATATATCAGCAGAGGTTATTAAATACCTTCATGTTTGCTCTAGGGAGCTTTTTGCAGATAGGTAATGTAGGTTCTATTTCCTCAGCCAAATATCAAGATTAATGCAGATAGATAGATGTTATTGAGTCATAGCTCCAGGATTTGCAGAGCTTCCATGGAGCAGGCTCTCCCTGGAAACTGAAACTTCAGACTCTCTGCAGCTGTGAGTCTATTACAAACTGTGACTGGGAAAAAGGATCCAGAACTTGCCTTTCAGAATATTCTTCTTTCTTGCTTGTATTCTTCCTCTGGTCCAGAAGTGGAATTTGTATAAGGTGCTGCACAACTGGTAATACCCTAGGTCTTAAACTCATATATTCAACAGCAATGTTGAGAAAGCCAGTGGAATATTATTTCCTATATTTTGTTGAAACTGAAGTGCATGGGGAAAAAGAATAAAACTGGAAAATTAAAGAATCCGGTTTAACCATGCAACAGTACAAGCAGATCCAGTGACATTGCTGCCAGAGGCTTGATTTGCTTGCTGCAAAGGAAAATAAGTAATCTTCTAGTGATATTTCATCATTGCCTTTTTATTCCACCAAAATTTTTAGCTACTCTATTTCTTAACCTTGATAAGATAAATGTTTTAGTTGAATTCAAAACAAGTAAATATTCACTATCAAATCATGAAAAAATATTAAGGTACTATGAAATTAAGTCTTGGGTTGTGTCAAATTTGTATTACAAACACTTATTTAAAGCTCATGAAAAATATTTTTTCCTCTTAACAAATCTTGTTCACAGAAGGTTCTGTACAACATTATAAATATGATGTACACAAGTGAAAACATGATCACTTTAGATTAATCGCTCTTGACAATTAAAAAAATGTTACATTTGAAGTGTAGGATTTTGAACTGGTAGATTTAAATGCGACCTGTATTTCTATTGGCACTAAATCTGACTAAAATTTTTCATCTGTTGTGTACTATGCAATCAAATAATTGTGTAATTATTTTACTTTGTCAATTAATATTTTTCCTGACTGGTTTGGGGTTTTGTCAATTTGGCTGGTGAATGTTTATCTTTCCAGAACTCTTCAGCAGAGCCAGTTGTAGAACTGATAACATTGCAAGAAATTTTAGAGGTAAGATGTTTTTACTGTGTAGAGATTTGAGGAATTTTTAAATATTCAGATGCAATGATGGTGATGATGATGATAAAGTGTTTATTGCTAATATTAATAACAGTATGTGGTATTTAGTTAAGACAGTTAATGTGGAATGATTAAGAATGTTGTGTCTACAAGAAGAGTGCAGGGAGCATTGCGGCCTTCTGGTACTAAAAGGGGGCTTATAAAAAGACGGAGAACAACTTTTTGCATGGGGGAATAGTTTTAAATTACGGGAATAGATATTTAGATTAGCTGTCAATAATAAATTCTTTACTGTGAGGGTGGTGAGGCACTGGAACAGGCTGTCTAGAAAAGCTGTGGATGCTCCATCCCTGGCAGTGTTCAAAGCCAGGCTGGATAGGGCTTTGAGCAGCCTGGTCTAGTGGAAGGTGCACCTGCCCATGGCAGGGGCGTGGAATGAGATGATCTTTGAGGTATGTTCCAACCCAAACCATTCTGTGAATCTAGGTCAATTTTCTATTTTAATTCCTATCAAAGTAAACCCCAAATTTTCACAAGAGGTGTGGCAATACTGTTCAGTTTAGGCTGGAGAATGGCTGTCTCTTATTTCTTGATTTTACAATATTTAGTTCAAAGAAGTTATATGTGCCTTAGTGGGTCATGTTGGGAGAGACAAATAACTTTGTTCAATGAAAAAATGGTCAATTTCATGCTTTATTTTATATTGTTTCAAGAAAAATATTTCTGAAATATACATTAACAGGAGGACTAATTAATATGTAGCCTCAGAAGGGCCAATAGTCTTGTGCATTAACTGGATTATTAACTCATACAAGGAAATCAGTTCATCCAATTCATGCATTTCTGATTTATTTTGTAAGTATAGAAGCATTGCTTAGTGTGAATTTTTCATTGCAGTGCAATTTATGAATGTGAATTGCAAAGCATAATTTTCCTTCTTGTCTTAAATGTAGTATTTGAAGGGAAATTTTCTGTTCCCCCTCCTTAGACAGTTCTAGACTTCTATATGCAAGATGTCCTTGGGGAATTTTTTTTTTCTTGAGGCAAAATGTGAGGTATAAAAACTTTCTGGTATTAAGATGCTATTATCTAATCACTATGACACTGTACTATAGTTTAAAGCCAGGCTTTGGGCTCATATCATCAAAATAATTTTACATGTTTCAAATATCTCAGCATACCTGTTAATGCCAAATTAGGCAGAGCTTGAAAACGGATCAGAATTCAGAGTAGCCACACCCCTTATGGAAAAAGAATTTTGAAGTTCTTCTAATGCTTTAAAATTGCCCTTCATATTTTTCTGATATTGTTAATCTTCTGAAAATGTGAACGTATTCAAGTAATGTCTGACTTCTGTTTGGAAGAACACACTATTTGAAAAATTCAGACTCATTTTGAATTTCAACATCCTGACCTAAAGTGTCAATGTCCCTTATCTTTGTATTCTGGAAGGTTTTTCTTTGTTGAATCGTGTTGTTCTAGCTTCAAGTCCCTGTTAAATTTGAAAAATGTTTTCTGAGATACAAATAAAGTTACAGCCATAAAGGCTATTTTTGAGTATCAGATGTCAGGAAAAACTAAGTAAAAGTTTGTCTAGAATAATGCATTTGGAGTAAGTTCTCATAATTGGAAGTACAAAACCTATTAACTGGAACAATTCTTCTTCAGAGTGTTCTGAAAAAGAAAAGCAGTTGTTCATTTGGGTCTTTTATTAGTAGTGGGTCTTTTGTTAGGATGCAAAAGTATAAAATCTGGTAGCAAGGATTTTGAATTTGTGTTTAGCACTAAGGGGCAAAAAATATTTTCTACTTACTGAAATTGGGATAGTATAACATTTGAAAGCTCTGAGTAGAAAGATGAAATATCTAGGATAAATAGAAAGAGTGATAGGTAAGATTATTTAGTCTGTAATGTATGCAGAACTCCCCATAAGCAATATCGTGAGGGCATGTACATGATCTCCATTAATTGAAAAAGAATGACAAAACTGATTCTGTTTTTAACTCCATTAACTAATTCTGTATTTGATACAGCATTTACTCTACATTTATTTTGGAATAAAAGAGGATTCTGTTTCTAATTTTTACATCAAAAAATGTGTTATGTAGCTAATTGGAAGTCCTTTGCTTTACTTCTACTTTGAACAGGTCTCATTTTTCTTCTGTAGTCCTTTGTATCTTATATTGCCTACATCACAGTAATTTGCAAAAATTTGGTTCAAGGTGATAAAATCTAGCTGTTTTGTTAATTTCCTAAATCCTATCCTTTTGATCTTCCAGATGCTGATAAACACATTATTGGCCACACCACATGAACCTTACATAACAATCAATGAGTCATTTTGGCCACCTTACATTGAGCTGCTGCTGAGATGTGGAATGGCCCTGAGACATCCAGAAGATCCAATGAGAATGCGCCTCCAAGCTTTTCACAAGTAGTGTGACCTACACATTCACTTGAAAACAAAACAACACCAGTACTCTTAATTCAGGGCTAGGACATATTTAGGTTTCCTACTAAGTTTTTAAGTATCAAGAATTGCTTCTTGTTGGATGGTTTTTTTTCTTTTAAATTAAATTGGATATTTAAGATCATAAAATGTAGAAAATGAAAAAAAAAAATCTATTTTGACTGCTTACAGTTGGCCTTCAGTTTTATACCAAGATTTGCGTTATGGAAGGTTTTTTTCAGTGCTTTTGTAAGATGCCAATTCATGTAATAGACAAATATGTTTAACAGTCCTTTTTACTTTAAAATCATACTTTATACATTACTTCTATAGTTTAGATTTCTTAGATTGCCTGACATCTCTATTTCCTTTAGTATTTTCTTGTATTCTGTAGAGACAAAATTCAGAATAACAGCACTGCTCCTGTACATGGCCTTGCAAATATGTGGAACTAGCAGAGAGGTATCCTCTCAAGAATGCGTTATGCCTTGCTTGTTTCTCAGAGCCCTTGCAAACAATTTTACTGGCTCCAAGATAAACACATAGGAAAGCTGACACATCTTTCTGTGTAAAGTGCAGCAGATGTCGAGTCTGCACCTTTCACTGCATGCTTCCCAAATGGCCCACTTTGTGTTACGCTATATTGCCTTACAGTATCTGTCTTCACTTTTTCAGACCTAGTTGATCAAGGCTTTTAATGGGTCTCTACAGTTTCTAAGTTACGTCAGTTGAGAGACTGAGACTTCTGACTCAATGCTGGCATTCTTTGCAATCTCAGTCTTTTATGTAGCCATATTTATAGTATTGTATTGAGTACAAAAATTCTGCTCCTGCTTATCTGTAGTAACTAAATTATCCTTTGTTAACCAGATTTTTGTTTATTGAGGGACGAACTTGGATGATTTTTCAGTTTGATGGAAAAGTAGAGTTGTATACAATCACAGAATGTTTTTATGTGATGGTTTTTAGAATGGTGTTTCTGTGATTTGGTTTGATGACTTGTAAGCATCATGTAAGGATGCATGGGAGAAGTAAGGGGGACCAATCTAATATAATTGCCAGTCTAGTATAATTGCCGTTTTTTAAACCAATTAAATGTTAAGCAAAAAATCTTTCATCTTTTGTAGTTTTGAGTGAATGCTGTTCATTTTACCCTCCCAACTGGTGTTTAAGCATGAGTATAGGATGTAGTGTGTGCTGTTGTGCATGAACATTGACTTCTTTTTGGTTCATATTGCTTGTGTAACTGCCCTCCTATTGTGGTTTAACCTCTTTTATGAATTCTAGAGTCTGACTAATCTATACACATTTATCTTACCGTATTTTTAATTAAGAATTCGAATAACTACATTTTTTGGCTTAGGTTTATAGGATTGTCTCTTTTGGGTTTTTTCCTTCATTTGTGTTTAAATGCTTTGTATTCTGCTATCCCCTCACCTTGTTTATTAATATTGCTCAAATACTTTATTGAGCTGGATGACTGCTTCTGTCATGACATTAATAAATAAAAAGAAAAATGTTAAACAGTCAGTAGCCTCTTGTTTTTAAAAAGAAGAAAAATACCAACCTATACCACCCACCTCCTAAATCCCAATCCAAACCAAAGCATTGAGATAGGATAGTCTATAAACAAATACTCTAAAGAAGATGCAAGATTCATTATTCTTTATATCAAAATCAAATCTCATCCAAGTGAAATACTAGAATAGAGTTAAATGAAAGTACTTCACATAAAGCTTTACTTTAAATTACGAAACTCACTGCCTTAAAATATGTTGTAAGATTACATATGAACATGCAAAAAAAAAACTTAAGGAATTCAGATTTATAATTATTAGAGAAAATTGGCAGTCAGCAGGTTCAGAAATCTCTATCCTACTAATTGTTGAACCCTGAGGAGATACACACAGATATTCCCTGAGATCCTCCTGCAGCTCCACAGTATCTTCATAATTCTCTGACGCCTTTCTGCTTAGGCCCTGGATATGCTCAGAACCCAAAGGTTCAGTGTAGAGCTTTTTCCTCAGGAGGGATTGAAGAAAATCCCACAGCAGAAGAAAACCTGTAGAAAGAGATAATCCAATCCTAAAATGCATTACCAGTTTTTAAGAGAAGCTGGTTTAGACTGAAACAGAGCTAGCCGAAAGCTGTAGCTTCTAGAAAAATCCTGACAAGTAAATTGAAGCAAATCAAGGCAGTGATGAAGAACAGATCTTCCTTATGAAAAAAAGCTAGGAGTAAGCTCTTTCATGAGTACTTTCAACAATCAGGAACTTTGGGGGGTGTGTGTGGGGGGGTGTATGTAGAAAGAGTAGGATAATTTCTCCTTTTTTTCTCTCCGTGCATGTCTAAATAACAGTTGTTTGTTTGGAATTTATACCTCTGTTAAATGATAATATTGTGACTCCATGTGCATTCCATGAAATAAGGATTTGTTTAGTTTACCATCAATTTTTAACTCTACAACGGTATTAAAAAAAAAAAAATAGCTAGGATGTTAAATGAACATTTGGAGCTGCCAAGCCTGAGTAAGATGACAAACTGATGTATGAGCTGGCAGTGTGTCCTTGTGGCCAAGAAGGCCAGTGATATCCCAGGTGCAAGTAGGAAGATCAATGCCAGTCTGCCTGTGCCTTTGCTTCTTTCCCTTAGTTGACCAGCTGTTCCCTACTCAGCCATGCCTATCTAGAGAGAATCAGGTAATCCTGTATCAGTGTGTTATAACCCATGCAGGTCAATACAGATCTCGTGATAACAACCTGCAAAAGGACAGATGTCTTTGATTTCAGTCATTGCTCAGTATGGAAGTATTGTAATTGGCTGGGTCTATTTGATTAGGGCCATATCTCTGGAGTATTGGCACTGCTTAAAACTTCTCACAGCTCTGCCTCTGCACCAGATAAGCGGGCAGCTTCTCCATCTAACACATGCAATATTCTCCCGGTATGGAGCTGATAGTTTTAGTATGGTTAAGAATAAGATATCAGTCACAACTGTGTCACCAGCCAGGGTATAATTCACGGACCAGCAGTCACCTGCTGAAACAGAGGCCAGACCTTGGGGACTGGTGCTTTCTTCTGTGACTGTTTCAGTAGAAAATCTCACCCCACAGGAGCCTTACTTGCCATTCAGATTTGCTGTGGTCTAGACATTAAGAGGAAAAAAATTACTCATTATACAGTAATGATTCTTCTGGAATGTGCATGCTGTACAGAGCCCCCAGCTCTTCTTGCTTTTTGGAATACATCAGTACAGCAAACCTCTTATTGACAGGAAATTGACCTGGCAATAGGAAGACCTTCTTGCATGTAGTATTATGAGGTTAAGGAAGATCAGACCACACCTGCCTTCACAAACTCTGCAAAGGGCTGTTGGGACAAACTTACTGATGTGATTTCCTAGTGAAATAGCTAAATTGTTCTGCACATTTTCAATTTTTGATTGTGGCATTAAATGCAACTGCTATTTATCTGCATTTTCCTGCATTGAAAAAAAAATCTGATTTTGAGATTTTGGCATAAAAGTTTCTGGATGTAAAGTTTTGGCAGAAATATATATGAGATATGTTTGTGGTCTGAGAGAGTGCAGGTGATGCTAATGAAGACTGCTGTAGCTAGTTACAGACATATAACCTTGGAAAAGTAAGTCTATGTTGAATTCTTGAATGTTCATTAGTATTTTGGTAAAATGACATTATATTTTCTGTATCTTAGATTGTATTTGAAGCTTTTTTTTTAAAAAGAAAAGTCTTATAAAAGCATGTGATAGCAGTCTTATAGCTGTTTGAATCTTGAAGTTATCTTTCATAGTTACAGATTCACAGAAGATAGCTAGTCCATGTGTTTTCTGAGAGAAAGTTATTGGTTTCAGTGTTTTGGTTTAGTTTACTGGATTTACTCTGGGGTGGGATTTTGTGGTTTTTGGCTGGTTGGTTGGTTTAGTTTATTGTTGTTTGGTTTGGTGTGTAGTTTTTGGGGGGGAGGGTTGAGGTGTTATTCCGTTTGTGTTTTGGTTTTGTTTAATTTGCTGTTTTGGGAGAATTGGGGTTTTGCTTTTTTTTTTTTTGTGAGGGTTTTGGTTTTTTGGGGCTTTTTTTTTTTTGTTGGGGGGGAATGTTCATGTGGCATTTTTACTTTATTTGCTTATTTATTTATTTTACTTCAAACTGTTTTAGCACAGAATAGTTTGATCACAATACTTCTACTTATTTCCAAGCATGACATTCTAGTGATTAAGACAATGAGACTCTATTTTGTGCATATTCTCAGGTAATACACCATGTTTTAGTAGATTGTTTCCAGGTTAAACAATGAGCATTCCAAGGTACCTCAGCAGTGCCAAACTACTCGTAATTATAATCAGTCATGGTTACAAGAAGTTCTTTGTTCTGCAAACATTTCAAATTCTGTACTTCAGAAAATTTATTGTGTCAAATGAAACATAATATTGCCTTCTCTATTTGGCAACAGATGCTGCTTGCAGGTGCTTGCAAATGAGCTTTTGATTATAGCTAGCCAAGACAAATGTAATTTCGGTGGTATTCCTATTTTAGTGTTAATTTAGGTTGCATTGAATGAGTTGCTGGAGATAGTTTCAAGCAGAAAAACTCAAAATACAAACTAAAGTAGGTTAGTGTTGCAGTTTACTTGATAAATAACTAGTCCATTCATTTCCTTGACAATTGTTTGGTTAAGTTTCCTTAAGATTATAAAGTGGTTGTGATTTGTTTCCTTTAATAGAAAACTGGGCCATTTTGAATGGGTGCTAAGGCAAGCAATTATTCTTGGTGACATGATCTAGACACATCTTTACTAGAAGACTAACTTATCCACAGAAACAAATTACAATGCTCAAAGCTGCTAACTGTCATAAAAGTTAATCTTGGCTACTTCTATTTCTTTTATTTAACAGATGGAGTAATTTTATTACTATTTACACTGACTAAAAAACTCTTACAGTTATCAATTTATATTAAATGTTGCAAAAGAACAAGCTCACAGTGCTACTGTGTATGCGTAACCAATTGCAGTGGTGTGTTAAGTTTTTATTTGAATGGGCAGCATGCTTCTATTTCAGTAATTTCTTTCTGTATTTGTATCTATTGCACTCTTAAAAAGTTTTGTTTTGTCAAACTCATTACAATGAAAGTTTGTTAGATTTGGGAACATGTTACTTACAGTCCTACAAAAGTGAACTGCAACACTTAGAAAACAAGGAAATTGTTTTGTTGTATTTAAAAGAAGAATCCAAAGACAGGTTCATGTGAATGAAGCTGCTTAACAGAAACAGCGTGTTTCGTAACGGAGAGGTGAAACTCTTCAGCTGAGCTCAATTTGAAGTTAGTCTATTCAGAATAGTTCTCCTACCTGTTTTGCAAATTAAAAATTCATCTAGACTTTATCAGGTAGTTGCCAGATGGCTCTAAATGCAGGAGAAACCCTGACTGCAAACAGGAGCTTAGTTTTAATGCTTTTTGCTTATGAAGGCTAAGGCAGTCAATACATTCTTTGAGTGCAAGCTTGACAAAAATTCTGTAAGTGAATCAAAGTTCTTTGTATATGACAGGATTCTGGCAACACTGCATGTAATCTATTATTTGGGAAGACAAAATATTGGAGAACTGGCATAAGTATAAAAATAATATCATAATTGCATATTTGAGGGCCCCAGCAGAATTCTGCTAAGAACAACACAAATTTGAATGTAAATTTCCCTTTATGGCTAGAACTGATGTGGGCAGAAAAAACGAAGCTGAATTTAAAAAACATTTTCAAGTCTCTGGACTGCTAATTTAAGAGATTATTAACTAAGAAAGCAAGCTCTCATGTATGGGTTACAGTTCAAGAACACTGAAGCTGGAAATAACAACTGTGTCTTGACTGTTAGTCAAACAGTGTCTGCTCTACATCAAGACGAGTGTAGCTGCAGCAGTATTCAAATTTTATAATGTAATACAGATATTAATTTAATGAAATATTACATCACTACATCAGCTGTGAGTTACTGTGAGAGAAGCAGCACTTCTCAGAAAGCCAAGCCACATAAACCAAAGTAAATTGGGGGAGGACAGACAGAGCCCCAGAACGACGTACAATAGGAATAGTGCTTACAAGAAGAAATCTCCTATACTGTGCCAGGAACGTACTAAACCGAATCAGTTAACTCCATGTAGAACTACCAGGAGTTAGATGTAGGCCTCCACCTTAAATCGAGAGAGAGTTATTTTACTCAAGACAAATTAACTCCTGCTGAAGTTCTTTTTCACTGGAGATAAGACTGTCTGCAGGGCTATACTAGGGATGAAACCATCCCACTGGACTACTGCAGCATCAAAGAAACATTATCCTAACTGCTGAGCAAAGCTATCTTTGCAACATTTTAGCAAGGTTGTTTTCAAGCTGCTTCTGTTAAAAAATACAATCTGGATGCTTGCCAAAACGCAAGGAGATACAAACCCAGTGCCAATTCTAAAAAACAAGAGTGCCTAGGAAAAAAATAGACACTGAAATAATTTAACTCAAGCTGATGTG